TCCTCCTCCTCCTTCTCCTCCTCCTCCTCCTCCTCCTCCTCCTCCGCTGGTCGCGGGTGTGGCGCCCCCACCAGCCCTCAGGGGGCGGCCCTGAGCATCGGTCCTGGGGGTCATGCGCTAAACCGAAACCACTTTGGGGCGTTGCAGATATCCGAATTTACCATTCACCTGTCAGGCGGGGGGAGGAGGAGGAGGAGGGGGGGGGGGGCGCAGGGCCCGCGAGGCAGCAGGGGCGGCCCGGCAGGGGCGGGGACAGGAGAGAGGAGGGCGGGTCGGGGGCGTTGGCGGTCGGTTCGGCGGTGGTCGCCGCGGTCACGGCGCTGCCGTGCTGCTGGAGGTCGTGGTCACGGCGCCTGTCGGCGGTGGTCGCGCCGGTTGTCGTCCCGGTCCTGGTCGTGGCCGAAGCGCTGGTCTTGGCGTTTGTCGTGCCTAGGGTCGTCCTCGTCGTCGTGGCGCAAACGGTGGCGGCAGGGGTTGTCAAGCTGGGGGTGGATATGGTCGCACCGCTGGTGGCGGACGTGGTGGTTGCCGCGCCGGCGGTAAAGGAGCTGGCGGCAGCGCGCTCACCGCCCCGCAGCCGCCAAGATGGCCTCGGCGCTTCCGAGGTGCAGCCGCGTGCTCAGTTGTTGCCAGCCATAGCGGATGACCTCTGTCCGCTCCGCGGGGGCCACGTCGCGGCCCCAGGAGCGGACGTACGCCACGGTGGCGTCACCCGGGCGGCCCCCCGTTTCGAAGACCGCAGGGATGAGCTGGCCCCCTTCGGGCGGGTAGCGCTCCCGCTTGGCGTCCTCGGCGCTAGTGGCGGCAAGGCCGTCCTTGTTGGAGCGGGCCTGCTGGCGCGGCGCGGTGCCGCTGTGTGCGCAGGTCACGCTCGTGTCCAAAAACACCGTCTGGCCGGTCACTGCGTCGCGTGTGGCGACGTCGAGCCGCGCTTCTTCGAGGCGCCCTGTCCGCGCGTTCACCCTGTCCCAAGCAACAACCCGTTGTTCCGTCTGCGCTGCGTGTCCTGTGGTCCGCTGGTGGTAGCCTGCGCAGAAGTCCCGGAGGCCGTTGTGTATGTTGTTGCGGTAGGGGCCACACGGGCACTTCAGGGCGTGGCGCCCGCGTCGGTCAAGCGCCTCCCCACACAGCGCCCCGTCGGCGTTGCGGAGCTTGCAGGTTGCGCCCGGAGGGCACACCGGCAGGCGCAGCTTGTCCTTGAGGGCGACCCGGAAGTGCTCGTCCGGCATTTTAGCAGGTGACTCCCCGTCTCGGACGACGGGCGGCTCCAAGTACCCACCTGCGCCAGGGCCGCCAGACGAGCGGAAGTCAACCCTGTCGTCTGCTCCCAGGGAGGCCAGCAGCCGCTCTCGTTCCTTGCTGCGAAGGTCGCCCGCCCACTTCCCCTGCATCCCCTCCAGTGGTTCGCCCATGCAGCCGGTCCAGTCGACGGCCTGGAGAGATCCCCCGCTCTGCGCCTGTAGCCGGGCCTCTGCCCTCGCCATGGCCTCGGCCACCAAGGGGCAGCGTTCCTGCAACCGCGCCCTCCTCCCCCTCCTCCGCCTCCTCCTCCTCCTCCTCCTCCTCCTCCTCCTCCTCCTCCCCCGCCCCCCCGAAGGACGCACACGCGCAGCCGCATGCATGAATGTGGCCCCCCGGTTCGCGAGACCAGCCTGATTTTACGAGTGTTCGCGCAACGCGCGCTCTCGAAACCAGCGTGGATTTAAATCCGTGTACTTCACTCCCGGGTACAGTCGACTTTGATTGGAGAGGGGCCCTGGAAGAGCACACAATCGGCGGCGAGCCCAGGGAAGAAGTCAGAGGGGGCAGGCCTTCTCAGAAGGCGGCGGGGCTTGTCAGAAGCCCTCGCATCTTTAGAGAATCCGCCTGCGGCTTTGGAGAAGGCTTGAGCTTCTGAGGAATCCCGACGCCTTCTGAGAAGGCCTGCCCGCTCCCACTTGCACCGTGGGCTCGCCACTGACACAAGACTCTTCCGAGAACGCACTCCTTGCCCCAAGAATGCAGAGGACATGGCACGCGATACCCCTGACTTGGCAGGGCCGACCCACTAAACAAACTCGACCGTATCATGCCGAGGGCCGTATCTTAGGGCTTCTGCAAGCCTCCTAACTTGCCATCGCTCGGACGTCCACTCCCCGTGCATGCTCCGAGTCCGCGCGTGCCTGCTGGGGAAGATGCTCCAGGATGCTCCTCCACGGCCCTCGCCGATAATCGGCTGTGGACAAACATCCATTTAGCAGACCGCCCTTTAGCGAAAACGGCCTACGACAGAAACCGACGGGCTCGGACCCGCACGCATGACGGCCGCGACGCCCCCTCGCGAACCGAAAACGGCAGATTCGCTAGTCGACACGTCAGGGTAGGAGCTCTGTCCTCCCCCGAGAGAAAAACATGCGCACGCCCGAGCGAGGGCCACGTTGCAGCTCCCCCACGCCTGCCTCGGCCTCGCGGGCCCGCCCGAGCCCGCGCGCCCCGCCTCGGGGTGGCCCCTGGGCGGCCCCGCGCGCCTCAGAGCCCTCCGAGGAGCCCGGGCCAGAGCAGGTAGGCCACCGGGGCCGCCCGGGCGGCCCCGCGCTGCCTTGAGACGCACCCGCGGCGGCCCAGCTGTGAGCCCCCGAGGGGCGCCACGGGGGCCCCGAGAGGCTCCCGGGGCACTCGAGGGAAGGCCGGGAGGCCGCCCGGTGAGGCCAAGAGCATCGAAGCACCTCAGCAATGCCTCGGGTGCTTGCAGCATCGTGGAGTTTCCTGGTCTTCGGTTCGAGATGGCTACAGGAAGAGCTGGAAGGAGCCCAGCGAGGGCCACGCAGGCCCCCCAGACGGCCGAGGAGAGTTTCAAGAGCGGCCATCGAAGTGAGGTGACAGGGCTGTTCACGAGAGCGTCCCAGGATGACCAAAGAGGGCCCCAGGAGGCCCCGAGGGAGCCCCAAGAGTCTCCCCAGTCGACAAAGAGAGGCCCAAGACTGTCCAAGAAGGCGCCAAGACGGCCCAAGAAAGTTTCAAGACGGTCCAAGAGGGCCCCTAACCCCACGACGGCCCAGGCAGATCCTGTGAGATTCCCTCGGCCGCCGCGCCCCGGCCTCCGAAGCCCGCTCCCCGGGCAGCCCCCGGGGCCGCTCTGGAGGCCGGCCCCGCCGGAGGGGAGAGATCGCATAAGGGGCCTCCCTGAGGAAGTCCCCTGCAAACCTCTAGGAAGCCTGCTCCTCCTGAGGGGAAGCCTCCGGGAGACCCCCCCCCCAGAGGTCGGCCGGGGCGGGCCCCGGGGCCCAGACCTCCAACGTCTTGAAAAAATCAAGGCGGAAGGGTTTGGAGATTTTCTGCCTCCGGCCCCAGGAGAGGAGAGATCGGCCGGGGCGGGCCCCGGGACCCAGACCTCCGACGTCTTGCAAAAAATCAAGGCGGAAGCTTTTGGATATGTTCGGCCTCCAGAGGCCCTCAGCGGGCCCCGGGGCCGCCGAGAAACTGCTCAAACGAACGCCCCCCCCCCCGCACGAGCCAAAGAGGAGAGGGGGGGAGCTTGCTTCCGAAGCCCCCCCCCTTTCAAGGGGGGGGGGGGGCTCGCCCCAGCTCCATTAGAAAGGGGGGAGGGGGGGGGGGCGCTCGGAAGCCCCCCCCCCCCCCCCTTCCGGACCACGAACAGAGGGGGAGGGGGGGGTGGCTTCCGAAGCCCCCCCCCTTCAAAGGAAAGGGGTGGCTCACCCGGCTCAATTTAAGCGAGGGAGAGGGGGGTAGCTCGGAAGCCCCCCCCCCCATCCCCTTTCCAGACCACGAAAAAAAGGGGAAGGGGGGAGTGGGGTAGCTTCAAGCTGGAGCCCCCCTTCTAGTCAGTCGGGCCCCACGAGCGCAGTCGATCGTAGTAGTAGTAGTAGTAGTAGTAGTAGTAGTAGTCGTCGTCGTCGTCGTCGTCGTCGTCGTCGTCGTCGTCGTCGTCGTCGTCGTCGTCGTCGTCGTCGTCGTCGTCGTCGTCGTCGTCGTCGTCGTCGTCGTCGTCGTCGTCGTAGTAATAGTAGTAGTAGTAGTAGTAGTAGTAGTAGTAGTAGTAGTAGTAGTAGTAGTAGTAGTAGTAGTCGTAGTAGTCGTGGTAGTAGTAGTAGTAGTAGTAGTAGTAGTAGTAGTGGTAGTAGTAGTAGTAGTAGTAGTTAGTAGTAGTAGTAGTAGTAGTAGTAGTAGTAGTAGTAGTAGTAGTAGTAGTAGTAGTCGTAGTAGTAGTAGTCGTAGTAGTAGTAGTAGTAGTAGTCGTAGTAGTAGTAGTAGTAGTAGTAGTAGTAGTAGTCGTAGTAGTAGTAGTAGTCGTAATAGTAGGCAGCGGGACCTCCAGCACCCGCTGCCGCCGCTGCTGCTGCATCCCCTTTGCCATGGCTGACTGCAGGAGCTGCAACTGGCACGGCACAGCCATCAGTGCACTTCCTCTTCTTCTGCTCCTCCTTGAGCCGTTGAAGATGAGCCTGATGCTGGGTCTTGATGGCGTCGACCTTGGCCCTGGAGTCCTTGAACCAGTTTGTGGCCATCGTCGCAATACCTTGCTGCTCTCGACTCCAGTTCTTTCTGGTCCGCCTCATTCATCTCAAACTCCAGCTCGTCAAAATGGAAGAGGGAATCCGCTGACAGGTCGAGCCACGAGTCCAACTTCGCATCGCCCAACAAGTCACCGATGGTGAGATTGGCCCGCATGCCCGACGCGTCAGAGCACTCGGAGTGCAGGCGATGGAAGAGAGTGCTGTGCTACTTCTCCGCGGATGCAAGCTCCTCTCGCAGCGACAAGCCGTGAGCCTTCTGGGATGCCAGCTGCTCCTCCATGGCCTCGAACTTGAGAGCTGCTGCCCCCAGCCTCTTCTCAACAGCACGAGCCTGGCCATGCGCGCGAGAAAGCTGGACTTGCAGGGGCTCCTGTTGCTTCGGACGTGGGGCCAAGGCTTGGGCTGCAATGCGCGCTCGCTTGGCCCCTTCAGCATCGCCAAGATGGTCACACACATTGGCCATCTGTTCGTACTCTTCCACGGACAGCGTCGGCTCTGCCTGAAGTGCTTGACCCGCTGGGGCGCCCATGGAGCCAGTGTGACTACAGCCCTTGGCTCCTTTTGACCCCCCCAGCAGGCTGCTGCGACCCCTTGCCGAAGCGTGAGCCCTGCCATGCACTGTTTGGCGGTATCCTCGTAGAACCACAATGCTTGCACCAAGAGAAGTAGCTGGCATTGCGTTTGCAGCCGCACATCTCGCACTGCCACCGACATCTGCCCTGAGGAGGACCAGGATGCTGAGGACCAGGGGCGAGAGAAGGCAACTGGATGAGGCTAACCCGATCTTGCGCCCACGGGGCGGAAGCTGTCCACTCGCCTCCGTCACCGTGGCCTGTCGAACCCTTGCCGCCGCCTTTCGACATCGCGCAACAGAAGCCGTGTCGAGTTGAATGAATGTATTGCCAGCTGGTGCACCCAGCTGGGCAAGGGAGAAGAGCAATTTTGGCCCGCAACAGCACCTGGCCGTTTCGAAGGGGCGTGCTGCTGCAAGCACGAGCTTCACTCAAATCAGTTCGAACCGAAACGGCTTGAACCAAAATGGCTTGAGCCAAAATGGCTACGGAGACGATGATGAGGGGAAGGACGATAAGAGGAAGAACGAGGAGAATTGCCAGCCGAGAGCTAAAAGGGGGGAGGAAAGGGGCTGCTAGCAGGGTATAACCTTCTGAAATAGCCTTGGCCCCCAGGGGCCCGAACATCTCCACATCCGCCGCCCGCCGCGGCCCCCGAAGATCGATCCCCCAGGCAGTGGCTACGGATACACCTCCCGCCTCGGAGGCTTTGCCCACGCGCGCCCCCCCGAAATCGTGGTGGCCTTTTCGCGCGGGCGTAGGTTCTGGCCTGGCGAGCTCGTATCGTACGCTACCACTGGTAGTTGTATGGGCATTTGTGGAGATCTGTCAGTCGGTCTCTGGGAAACTTACGGTAACGCATAGAAGGGGGCTGTCTGGGAGAGGAGCGGGAGGTCCTCGAAGTCTCAACCGTCGCCATCACGAGCTCGCATGAAGAGGAGGAGGAGGAGAAGGAGGAGGAGGGGGAGGAGGAGGAGGAGGAGGAGGAGGAGGACCAGCAGCAGGATTTGCATGATTATGACGAGGGGGACGGCACTAAGGATCGAAAGTGAATGCACGAGACATGCCATTCAGCGGGCCAGCAGCAAGATAACAATTTCCCGCCCGACCCACGAACTATCATACTCATTAATATCGTTAATGCTTTTTCATGCTTATTATTCTGAGTATTGATTGTTTGCCTTCTAGACCTCGATTACTCATCCCCCATCATGCTGTTGTCATTCCCTCGCTCCCCCCCCAAGTTTCCTCACCCACCCGTTTCCCCTCTGCCTCTCCAACTCCCTCTCTCTTCTCGATCTGACGCGGCGATCCCCGAGGTGCAAAAGCAGTTCACGCCCTGAGACTGGCTCCGCCGGTGGGCTCTCCTGCTCGCCCGCGACGAAGATGACAGCAGGTGCGCGAACGATCCACAGCCAAGGTGCGGTTGCAAGAAATCAGGCTCCCTGCGTGCTAAGACGAAGCCAGGACGAGGATAACATCGGGTCAGGATAAATCGAGAGTCTCTGAGATCCTGCGGCTCTGATGGATGTCTCAGGCGCCGCGGCCTTCTCAGAGCGTCCCGGAACGCTCACAGAGCGTTCTGGAACGCTCTGGAAAGGAATTCTCCTCGTCCTGGCCCCGTCCGACGTACCCTTGCATCAGCCTGCCCGCTCAACGCCGGGTCACTGTCCACCCTCTCGGGCCCACAGCCCGTGACCAGACCTTGTGGCGAGTCGCCGAGAGACCAGCCCCCTAGGGGGGGAGGACCGAAGGTCGCTCCGCTCGGCCGCGGGATGCCCGAGCGATATATGGTCTGGAAGCACGACGGGAGACGTTTGGCCGTCTGTGGTCCATCAACAAACTTGGGCGCGAGTGAAAGGGGTGGGGTGGGGGGGGGGGGGGGGGCGAATTCATGGGGGGAGAAGGGTGCCCTTTGGGGGGCCCTGCATTGCCCCTTCTGGGCCGTAAAGGGCGCCCTTAGGGGCCCCTTTTCGGTAGCCCTCGCTGCCCCATTACGCGCCACCCAACTCGGGGTGAAAAGCCGGCTCCCGGGACCAGCGTTGACTGTTTTTGCACCTCGGGGATCGCCGCGTCACATCTCATGTCTGGGGTCACCCACGGCACCGACGACAGCGATGGCATCGACGACGGTCGACGACGGCGGCGATGGCGGGGTCGGCCAGCGTCGAACCGGGAGGTCGGATCGAATCGGAACGCGCATCGGATCGGACCGCACTGGCACGGAGCGGGGATCAAATCGATCCGGCCGCGCCAGAAAGCATGCGGCAGCGTCGTACAAGCGTCGGGCAACATAGGATTGTCGAATGCCGGAACCAGAACCCAATCGGACCCGGCCAGCCGAAACCGACATTGAATCGGATCGATCGGTTCG